CACACTCTGCTCACTATAGAGTGAAACAAATATATGTTTTTATTATTAGCTACTACTAGTCGCTCATAATTAGTAGCCACTTCTAGTAAGGTATTGCTTGTCACTTTTTATTTTTTAAATCGATAGCTGTTGTCCGCGACTTCATCCGCGTCGAATATGATTCCTGATTCATCCCATGGGAGCATTTAATCGGGATAAAATATCCTATCACCTAAGTCAGCTTATACCCTGCCTGGTACCATACAAAATTTCATCTAAATCCGTTCAGTAGTTTCAGCGTGAGATCGAAAGCTAGTATTAAAGTATGTCGAATACTTATATTCTGGTTATAATCTGAAGGGCCTAGTTCATGCAGTTCTGCGCTCTGATTGGCCGGTTTCAATTCACTAACCAATCAGAAGCCTAAACGCAGTAACCTTTTGATCACTTTATAGTAAAAAATGCTCACACTAGGTCCTCTGATAGACAAGTTTAGGATAGCCAAATGATTGATGATCACACCGTATCTTATTATGAATCACTGCAACCCATCTCATGAGTGAAAAACCCAAGCGTAATGAAATTACTCTTGAAATGGTTGAATGAGTAAATCGTTTTCTGTGACCTTACGTAATACACCCGTAGAAAATTGTTGAAAATCATCCGCTAAATTTATTTGTTTCCGTAAGAAAAGAGAAAATACATGTGTAATGTTTTTAAATAATTTACCAAACGGACATTAAATTAATTATTTGTCATCTACCCTATTATCATCATCAACAGCTGGAAGACGTCCACAGCTGGACAAAGGCCTCCCACTAAGTCCTCCACACCAAATATGTATATACGTACTTATTTTTTAAAAGGTGTAAATACATATAAATAAGGTAAACTTTTTTACCAAAAAGATCTCTTTTTTGGTAAAAGATGTTCTAAGTAGTATGATGAGGTTGTATTAATAGTATTAATACACAGTCTTCATTTTAAAAGCAAACAATGTAATAATACAAACATGATTCAAAACAACACGGAAATTATAATTAAAGTTCCATTGCTACATTACATGGCAGCAACAGAATAAAAAAAAGTAACTTACCATCAATCATGTCCTTTGAATTCCTTTTTCAAATTTTTGAACAGTAAACAATTTAATAAAATATATAACAAAAAATAACCAACAAAAATAGAAGATATTATAAACCGATGAATTTTATACTAAAATCAATCCTCTGTCTATAAGTTTTAAGGATAAAAATTACATGAACCGTCCACACGTGACAGTCAAATGTAAAAAGTATTATAAAATTATTTGGTGTAGTCTTCCTTTATAAAGGGTCATTTTAAAGTGATAAAAAGTTCAAACCGCCATGTAGCGTTCTAGAATTATATACTTTAAACAAAATATTCTTAAGATCTATTATTGAATGTCATACTTCTTGATTAGATGCTTACTGTGCTTAGTTTGTGTTTCTGAAACTTTACACCGTATGTCTCGTGCAGACATATGCATTTCTGTTAGCCATGCCATGGCAATATTTTTGTTTAATTCTTGCATATTGTGTGACCTCGATAGTCCAGTAGTTGCTAGCTTACCTGCCGAGGGTTTGAATTCAATTTAAGCACTTATTTATTATCTCTGTGAAAATACTACTTACCCAAAACCGAAATATTATACTCGCTTCTTATTCACTAGAAATAACAATGGCGTTGATAAAAGTAGCTCACATAAATGTCTGATGGGCTACTCAACTAGTTTCAAGCCAGGCCAGGGACCCATAATCATAATTCATTAGCGGCACGCGTGACAAATACCACCGTGTCTATGTTGTCACGTGATTAAGGTATTAGATTAACTTAATATGAGTAATACACAAAAAACCATACATAACCTCACACCTGTCTTCCATGGGTATGCAGAGACTATGAAACGCCAATTGCTACAATTATTACATGGTACTTCTTTCGCTTCATCAACAGTCATCTTTTTTTTTTATTCTTTTTAATTTTATTATATTAGGGGGTTTTTGTCCATATGGATACGTCAACTCCATCATACCTTATCAAATTAATGAAAGGGAATCATTATCAAGGTATGACATAAATATCAACAGTCATCAGTCTTTTCATATATGCTCGTCATTTATACTGCCCATACATACACTAAAATAACTGCTTCGTTGGCCGAGTGGTCGCAAGTGCGACTGCCGGGCAAGGGGTCTCGGGTTCGATTCCCGGGTCGGGCAATTTATACTGGGTTTTAAAAAAATCTCAGTAGTAGCACGGGGTCTGGAATTGTCCCCGGTATATGGCAATAGACTCACCCCCTATTACATGGGACTCATAAGATAAATAGTGAAAAGTGGGTGTTACGTCTGTGTGCACTACTGCTTACCCCTTCGGGGATAAACGGCGTGATGTTATGTTATGTTACACCAAAATAAATTACCTTTATTTATTTATTAACATCTATATCACCACATAGACATAGCGAATGTTAGAAGAGACCCTATAAAGGTCTAAAATGAGATTTTCTAGATTTATAGTTAGGTCTAGCAGGTTTAGTGTTTACTAGAATTTATGTTAGGATATAAACGGATCAGGGTATTGTATCGAACGTGTTGTCGAACAAAATACGCATCGAGTTATAGGAACCATTTTATCGTGGTCTCACTTTATATGATCTATCCGTACATTGAACGTTCGGTTTATACTGGACCTTTTCGTTGGCCGAGAGTGGTCGCAAGTGCGACTGCCGGGCAAGGGGTCGCGGGTTCGATTCTCGGGTCGGGCAAAGTACTATTGCATTAAAATTAAAAAAAAATCTCAGCAGTAGCACGCAGTCTGGAATTGTGCCAGGTATATGGCAATAGGCACACCCTTATTACATAGGACTCATAACATAAATAGTGAAAAGTGGGTGTTACATTTTACAGTGGCATTAAGTACCGTAATAAGCACCTCTGCCTACCCCTTATAGATAACATCAAACAATACATAACCATTTTATCATGATCTTTCTTTGTGTGATCTTTCCGCACATTCAACGGTCTGTTTATACTGGTTTTAATTAAAGACATTCGAATGACGATGCGATCGTATTAACCATTTAAAAATGAAATAAAAATCATCTATGTATTTGATAAAAAGCAGTTTATTTACAGAAACGACAAGAAAATACGAATAGGACAATTACTTATGAGCTAATCCTTTTTTTAACAAAGTCGTATACTAAACACAGGCTATAAATAATTTTTATTTACATTTTCATCATTTCAGTAACAAATTATTAATAAAAAGGCATGACTTCATAAATGTATAAGATACTTCAAGGGCTATATTCTGTATAAAAACAGAATTATCAAAAAAAGTACAGTCGTTCAAGAGTTATGAACACAGAGACATTTTGACAATTTTTATTTCAATGATAAGTATACTAAAGTATGAATATTTGGCTCTTAGCTAGACTATATTTCACTATTTACAAAACGAAATTAAATGATTGCAACAAACAATAAAAAAAGTAATATTCTTTTACAATCTTCGAGACAGCGGACGAGATGTATTAAGTCGTCATAATAATGAATTTAAAAAAAACTTTAAATTGGTCCATTGATGCATTAAAAACTTTTTTACATGAAACCTTGTTGGGTTTCATGTAAAAAAAGAATCTCCGAATCCCCCTCAATCCTCAAATTCCCAATCCCAAAAGGCCGGTAACGCATTTGTAACGCCTTGGTGTTTCAGGTGTCCATGGGCGGCGCCGATTGCCTACCATCAGGTGATCCGTCTGCACGTTAACCAGCTTATCCCATAAAAAATAATCTGATCTTTGTTAAGTAATCAGTAATGTTACTTCATCAATGCAATTACATAAGCATCTGTTATTTGCCACGAATTAGGAGCAATTAATTTTAAAACCGAATACCCCAATAAATGACACTTCATGGGGACAACACTACTAAAAACTCGCACTCAACCATAACTAACTAATTCCTATTCAGTAAAAGTAGCCCACCAAAGCTAATCTATCATACAACTATTTTCACACAAACAATACTTTAAACAAGGCAAAAAGAGCGACTGCATTGCCTTCAAAGAAACGTATAAAATAGAAGTCGGTAAAAATAAATAGAAGCGCACAGCTCGGCGCGAATACGTGCCAACTCTTAGCTGAAATCTTACACGGAATAAAACTTGGGAACAAAGTGTTGGACCGGCACTTGCATACAAGTTGTATAGATAAGCCAGTAACTCGCTTCCGACATGTTCAGAATATACCACTAATACTAGTATAACTTACTTCTACGATAAATTACTTGGTGAACTAGAAACTGGTTACATCTGGATACTATATGTTCCTTCGCTTGGCTTTTTACCAAATAGGTTAAGGTATTGCGTTTTTGTTAAGAAAAATATACTCGAAATAATTTATATTTCACCTTGGCTTACCGACTGGGGATGACATTCCACCATATATCTTTATGTATTTGATAGGCCGATGTATGTATACGATATCTCTCTTGTTCATTGCATTAGATCGACTTTTTGTGCAACAAACAGTAACTTTACGTAACAAGTCTGGTAAAGCCAAACAAATAATCTTACAGACAGTGATTGTTATAAGTGTGGCTTTATTATATTTACTTAACTTCTTTTTATATATTTGATGGGCCGACGACGTTTTTTTTTTTTTTTTTTATAATTGATGGGGCGACGTTTGACCATTATCTCGCCTGGTGGTAAGCAATGACACGGTCTACAATGGAGCATGTCATCCCATAAGTAACTTATTCACTCGGGCCTTGCAGGTACCCTTCAGGAAATATAAACTCTGGCAAAGAATTCCACTCCTTTGCTGTACGGACAAGGAACTTCCAGTGAAATGACCGAATCAATGACTTATGGTGATTTTTCGAGATAACTACTATTACATGCGATCAAAGATAAATACGAGTTCAACAAGCTAGTAGGTAACCTGCAGAACCATTAGAAAAGAAAAAAAACATAAAGCGATGGTTTACCTGTTCATCCCTCTGTGGAACAGCACTATAGTCCCTCTCTTCACCACGATGTTGGTGTCGGGGATTGTGTACTCCTTGGTACACATGCGCTGGATGCTCGGGAACGGAGGGTACAGGCGAAGAGTTTCTGGAAAGAAGACAGAGACTCATAAGTCCAGTACACCTTTTTATAATGCAAGTGGCCTTAATGATGGCCAACATTTGTAAGAAGACAACGATACCATAAAAAAGAAGATAGAATGTTAGATAGACGAGTTTTCAAAAGGAATTAACAGTATTTGCGATAACATAAGACTCTCGAGTTTGACTTCTTGTATTTTCGCAGGTTCAGAAAAGGCGTTCATATAGTCTGTAGTATCGGTTCTTCTTACGCAGACTACCGTTAAATATAAACCTCCTTTCAGCCCCTATGACTTCCAGACTAGCCGGTCAAAAGCCATCTGCATCTATCATGCTTTACGAAACCTAAACCTCCCCTAATCTCCTTTCATTATTTATACCTGCTAATACCATACCTTCCACCACACTACACAGCTCCTATAAATTCCCAAAACGACCTAGTTTTACACATTACACCTGTAACTTCCGTCTGTGGTACGCCACCGTAAGGGATACGGTTCTTTTAATACCAAACAGTCGGCCATTACTCGGAGAGAAGTAAAAACTCATTAAAAGAAACTTTTCCGGTTACTAGTAACAAACCAATTGGGGTCACAGACTTGTGAATGTGGTGTTGAAACTAATTACTTATTAGGCACCTACACGATCGGAAAAACAGCGGAAGAATGTGAGCTCTAGTTCTTATATATGTCTGGAAGGTGTACGTTGTATTATCATGAATATAATGTAATGCGCCTGCCACACACTCGACGAGTGGTGTGGGAAGTAATGAGGAAAGGAGGCACAGACATAGTGTGGCAACATTACCCGTCATACCACGCGTCATGCTCCTCGTCCTGCCCACTGCTCCCTATTTTGTCGGTTTTTGCGCACGAGTCAAAGGACCGGCAATACGAGGCAACGAGGACCGGCAATAGGATCATCGCAATTAATTGCCCGAATAGAGCAGTGTGTGGGCAGAGAGGGCAACATCGCGGCAGCACGATGAGCAGCGTAAGGAGCATAGTCTGGCAGGCGCATTATGTAATAAGTTCCATAGTCTCTGTCTACCCCCCTCTCATGGCGGAATGGCAGCAACGACTGTCGCAACCGAGGGCTGGGCTCGCTGCCATTGCAGCGGTAAGACCCCTCTTTGAGGAGTGGCTTGAGAGACGCTACGGCGTCCTCACCTACCGCCTGATGCAGGTCCTCACCGGACGTGGAAGTTTCGGGAGGTACCTGTGTCTGATGGGGCGGGAGGAAACGCCCGGGTATCATCACCGCGAGGACACGGTGGAACACACCGTAGCGGAATGCCCTGCGTGGGCTGAGCACCGCCGTGCCCTCAGGGAAGTGATCGGCGATGGCGACCTCTCGCGTCCGGGCCTAGTGCAGGCCATGATGCGGAGCGAGGGGATGCCGTCTCCTCCTTTTGCGAAGCAGTCATGCTAGCTAAGGAGGAGGCGGGACGCGTGAGGCAGCGAAGCGCTGCCTCCTCGCAACCCAGCCATCGCGAAGGACACACCGGGCGTCGGGGATCGCGGGACGATCTCCGGCCACCGTAAGCGCGGGGCTGCGGACGGCGAGCATGGGTGGCTCCCCGTCCGACCAGAAACAGACCCGAGCGTACGGCGCGTCGCGTTCCGCGCGCGTCTCAAAGAGCCATCAGACCACCACAGATGGGGCTCAATAGGGCCGATGCCGATTCGGAGTCGCGGAGAACCTAACGGGTAACCGGGGCTCCGGCTCGACGTGCAGGAGAAGGAACGGGGTGGTTTTTAGTCAGTAAGAGTCTGACACTCCCTTCCGCCTCACCCAGGCGGGAGCAGTCATTCGATGATTTTCCCCCCTTAAAAAAAAAAAACCCCATGGGAGACAGGCGTGAGATTATGTATGTATACATACATAACATCACGCCTTTTGTCCCCAAAGGGGTAAGCAGAAGTGCACACAGAAGTAACACCCACTTTTCACTGTTTATGTTATGAGTCCCATGTAATAGGGGGTGAGCTTATTGCCATATACCGGGCACATATCCAGACTCCATGCTACTACTGAGATTTTTTAGAAACCCAGTAATTCTTTGCCGAGAATCGAACCCGAGACCCCTTGCTGGCAGTTGCACTTGCGACCAGTCGGCGGATAGGTGGATAAAGGAATAGGTGGTACCTTTGTACTTTAATTTTATATATGTGTTGTCCTTTATGTTGTTTGTGTATACATTAATAATAAATAAATATATCATAGTTACTATAGAATCAATCGATTTGAGATTTAGGTACCTACATTATCTAGTTGGAGGCTACGTTTGTTGAAGACTTTTTATGGGAAATTCGGACAGAAATACTGAAAACAGTAGCGAGTAAAGGTTATATCCAAACGCATATTTTTTAAACAAACAAAATAAAGAGTCAAAATCAAAGGTTAAGTCAAAATCATTTATTTCAATTAGACCAAAAAGGCATTTCTGTGACGTCAACAAAAAAATTACAAGTAGCTATAGTTATAAGCTATTTGCTCATTCCAAGAAACTCAGATATAAACAGATCGATAATAATTAAATGAAAAGTTTAAAATTATGAAGCGGATCCAGTAAAAGTTAACGAGTTCAGCAATATCGAAATGAGTTGCCCTAATTTGTAAAGTTAATGCGACATCATTAATTAAGTTATCTTTAACTTAACCGTTAAAGATAAAAGTTGTAATGAGTTCGTGCTTAACTGCAGCCGCCATGTTTAGAATATGAACTAGAAAATTTGGTTTTTTAATAAATTCGCTGGGAGCATTCCTAATTCAATTATCAGAATGTGTTCAAAGTAAGTTGCATGTAACTTGTTTAGGTAGTACCTAATGCACAAGTTTCTTCGATGTATGGTACAAGTATATTTTATCCAAACTAATATTTTTAATGCGGAAGTAATTTTGTTCGTTTTGTAAACCTTTTTACGCATTAAGCAAAGAGATTCATCCAATCTTTTAGTTTTAGATTTACTACTCTGATCTACTTTTGGGTGTAATAGACAGCTTACTAACGAAACTGTTTAACAGGACAACTCGACTAATTACAAGCCATACCGGGGGCCCATAAGCCCTCACCGCGACGCTTGCCGCGCTGCTAGAGTCACCTCTTCGAATGTCAAATAGTTACGTCAGTATATTTACAATATAAATAACTTAATTAATTTTTTTTTTAGTTTTCCAAATAAAACGTAATCCAGACAAAAAATCTATTAAAATTACACCAAATTACAATCATAACTTAACAAGAAATACTTGAACACTTACAAACTAATTTCGTGATTAAGTTAAACAAGTCTTCTTATCTGTAACTAGGTAATTGAATGAACTATCTAAATAATAAGTGATTGGCTAGCTTTAGTCCAACTATGAAAGTTAGGCATCAATATCTTATTTATTAATGGCCGAACAAAAGCACCAAACGAGGCCTCGTCTTGAATAAATACTTGGATTTTTGTCTAAGTTAATTGAATAAGAATTAGTGTCAATTAGAAGTTTTGATTGAACATTTAGGGCAGTAGAAAGAATATATAAGTGTTTACGAAGACACGCGTGTAAGATCAAATTGATTTAGCTGTAAGTGAACAGATTTAGTTACTGATTATTTTTTGATACAATGAACACACCAAGTGTGGGAGAGCCATGCTTTGGCACGAATGGGCCGGTGCGACCGGAGTGATACCACGGCCGAGCAGAAGACCAACGTGAAACAACGCTTGCGTTGTGTTTCGTCGTGTGAGGAAGGTTACCGGAGGCCCAATCCCCCCACTCCCTTCCCCAATCCCTGAATCTCCAACAATTCTCAAATTCCTAATACCAAAAAGCCGGTAACGCACTTGTAACGCCTCTGGTGTTTCAGATGTCCATGGGCGACGCGGATTGCTTACCATGAGGTGATCCGTCTGCTCGTTTACAGGCTTATCCCATAAAAAAAGAGAGAGAGTGTGTATGTGTGTGAGAGACCAAAAATTTACTTCTCAAAGATATTAAACAGCGACATCTCGTAGAACGCATGCAACGCTACAGCGAAGGGATCATCTTCATTATACATCACGTTACTTTTTAAACCAAACGCGCAAGGCACTATGGCATCGGCTGTATAACCACCGACAAGCTTCTCAGAGTTCACCACAGCGGAGATTTGTTCCACACCATTCCATTGACCTTCTGTCTTCACTGGGCCATTTTTGTTCGGTTCATTTTTAGACTGTGTCAGCAAATCTTGAACCCTTGTCACGAATTCTACCGCTGTGTTCTCTATGAGCGGGAACATGCCGCGCAGTTTGTTTGGTCTGAAATGTACAAAATTGCTATGTTAGAGGTAAGAACGGTTTACTACACTTGTTGGGGTATGTCCTATGTTACTTCGCTGTACAAATGTGTCTTCCTATGTGAGGAAACTTATAACATATTTGGAAATCTATTAACTATTAATTTGTTACTTGAAAACGTTGTTATCAACTTTTGTGACTTGATTCATTGCTTGAACACAATAAAGATCGCTCACCCTCAGTATCAATTGGGATGATGACAGGGTATGAAAATTAAAAATCTAATATCACTGTACAAATTGACACCCATTGTTCACTATTTATGTTATGAGTCCCATGTAATAGGGGGTAAGCCTATTGCCATATACCGGGTACAATTCTAGACTCCGCGCTACTACTGAAATTTCTTTTAAAAACCCAGTAATACTTTGCTCGACCCAGGAATCGAACCCGAGACACTCTGCCAACGATGCCAACGAGAGCAGAAAAGTGAGTACTTACCTAAAAATCTCTCATCCTGATAGGTATCGTATATTCTCTTGAAGCACATGCCTCCTTGCTCCTTAAACATCACCACGGACGGGATGTGGCCCACGACCAGCCACGCAGGCGGGGAGAACACCCCACGGGACGTCCAGTAGTCATGGTCATACGTCGTCACAGCCAAAACAACAGCCAAACTCAAACCGCACGCGACTATACACCATATTTCTATCGACCCGAAGGTGTAATATCGCAAAAGCCAAGCCAGTATCACCACAAGTTGCACAGACGATCGTTTGAACCCAAACATTTTGGTTTTAAGTATGCAACATTATTTTACTAAGAAAATATTATCTGGAAGAGTAATGAGAAAATTTATAAGTAAACATTTTACAGCACACTTTTCCATTCAATGTTAGGGCATCATTTATTCAAAAGCTAAAAACAAAAACTTTTATGTCGCTTACACACGCCGATTGAATATTTAAAACAATTTTGCTGAGCGAAATTGAAAAACGACCCTTTTCAGTGAAAACTAAAAGTAGCACATATAAATAAATAACGACATATGTGTTTTAACTCAAAGTTTTGAACACTTAGCACCTCATCTTAAATTAACGTCACTCACACAATATAATTCAAAACTGCAATCTTCTTTCACTCACGCAGGGCCGGACTTGTACATTTTTTTATTTAACTTTTTATTGTAAAAATATTTTAATAATAGTTAAATTCGCGAGACATAGCGCTCGCGGCTCGCGCCTGCGCACAATGTGGCCAAATGCGTTAACAAGAATCATGCGCAATCTGTGATGCTGTAAGAGAGAAAGTTTCCCCAGGGCCGGACTTGCCGGTCGTCTGTGTGACACGTCCATTCATGACGCGGTGGGACGACCGCGGTTGCTTTCGTAAGTTGTAGTTTTTATAATTCTAAATGCTACCATGCTACGGTTTTCTCCATTCAATCAATCAACAATTAATTAAAGTAAATGTTCTTATTCCAATCAACATAATTAAGAAAAAATCGAAACGAAATCTATCTAACTGGTATGTTACACCCCAGCATTTGTCCTTTAACTCATGTCTACTATCGGACTAAATAGAAATGACTTATATAAAGTACATGTTTTGTAGTATATAACAAGCAGTAACATAAAACACTCCATGCACATATACGAGGCTTGTCGTTATTTCCATGTAAATATGTCAACTTTAGTTGCTCGTATAATGTTTGTTGTTGATTACTATACATATGTGTCTGACCCATTTATTTTATATTATTTAGGAAATGAGTCGGCGTGAGACAGTAAAATATTTTGATACATATCACACGGTTTATATCAGTCATTTAAATACCCCTTTCATGTTTCATTGAGCAATTAAAACAAGATTTTATTTATTTTAATAAGACAGATGTACACAGATTATTAGTGAATAAAATTAATAGCTTTTTCATATTTTACAAGTTGACTGGACAGATTTACTTTTGGGCAATATTTAAGAACTACCTCGAACTTGCACCAATAATTGAAAAGAGATATCACGAATATAGCTTTCGAAAATTGAAGCAACATGGTTTTAAATATACCAACTGTAAGATTTTGTGTTATTTATGTAAAGTACAACAAACGTACTTACGGTATTCATTAAGTACTGCATACTTCTAATATATTGTTTCCTTTATAACTGCAATAGTGAAAATAGAAAATACCTAATTAAGACGCCAGACAGATATGTTTTCTATCATAAGTTACACGACCACATTACGTCCCAAATCCGGCACTGTTATGTTTTAAATTTACATTACGTCCCTGTCCTCTAAGGTCCGATTGGCGGCATCTTAACCCACATTTTGTGTTTAATCTACTTAAGTACGGGTCTTCAAGAGTCAATGAGTGATGAGTGACCATCATTCGAGGAGTATGATAGTCTATTGTCTCGATATTAATACTATTGTGATAGTGACATTGAAGCTTAGTTGTTATATCCTTAGTGACAATTGACCAGATTAACATAACATCACGCCTTTTATTCCTGAAGGGGTAGGTAGAGGTGTACATTACGGCACTTAATACTGCTGTACAATGTAACATCCACTTTTCACTATTCATGTTATGAGTCTAAAACCCCTTAATAAAAAACAGATAAAAAAAAAGAAATGTTATGAGTCCCATGTAATAGGGGGTGAGCCTATTGATTGCCATAATTCCAGGCACAATTCCAGACTCCGCGCTACTACTGATATCTTTTTTTAAATCCTATATACATTGCCCGACCCGGCAGTCGCACTTGCGACCATTCAGCCAATGAAGTTTTGAATTTTACAATGATGAAGAAAGACTGTCCGCCAGTCTTAGTAGTTCGTCGCAGACTCATAGTCGTAGGGCATTCCCAGATTGGGAATTGTACTGGCTACTAACTACTAAACTTCTTCAGTATTTAAACTTTCATTAAGTAAGGACTGGCTTTACTATTTTAGCAATACATTACCTGTTACTATAAAGAAGTGTGGGAGAGCCATGCAGTTTTAAGTTAAATAGAAAAAAAAAATGTCCTGTGACCTGATGGTAACCAATCAGTGCTGCTCGTGGACACTTAGAACACATAATGAGTTACAAGTGCATTGCTGGTCTTTGGTAGCGAACTTTTAATTGCAATAATGCTTTGCTGAAAACAAGACTCCTTGTTTGGCAATCGGATTAATGATTATTCTAATGATAGAGTACGATCTTATGAGAAAGAAAACCATGAAAGACTTTCTTGTTAAATATTACCTTTAAAATCGACAGTACTTTGTAACCATTGTACCATTATTGTATTTGTAAACCAATAACTCACATTCAAGGAAATAACAATAAAACTATAATATTATGGCTGCGAGGGTAAAAGCTCGCCACAATGAGGAAATCAATGATTTCCAGCGATTTTACCATAATAGCGGAGCGATTTATACTGAGACCGAAGTGGCACACTTCAATGTAAATAGTCGCGGATGAGAGGTCGATCCGCAGTGTGAGCGGAGAGCGGGACGTTAAGCGGAGCGATTATGTATTTTTTGCAATAACCATATCATTAATTTGCTGTGGCTGCATGGTTTATACAATGTTTTGATATAAACGGTTTCTATATTTACATTAGTATTTTGAAAGTAAGAAACACTAGTTCTCAAATAGTTATAATGCATAAGACTACTAGACAATCTTATATGAATACTAGCTAACGCGGCAAACGTTGTTTTGCCATATAAAAAATTTCATAGAAGGGTGAAAATTGAGGATTGTATGTATTTTTGTATGTTGTATCATAAAAAATAGAAATTAAAAATTTTGTAAAAAAAGAAAAAAATTATGAAAGGGCTACCCCTAACATTTAGGGGGATGAAAAATAGATGTTGGCCGATTCTCATAGATACTGGATAAACATAAAAAAAATCATCAAAATCGGTCAAGTCGTTTCGGAGGAATACTCCTCCGATTGCCATACGGCAATGAAAACTGTGACACGAGAATTGTAACGAGAAAATGAATTTCCGCTAGTTAGTGTCGCTAAAACTTGAAACTGACTGTCATAGAATGTTCGCGCAAGAATTAAAAAAAAAATTTAGGCGGTAGAAAGTTTACCCGATCACCTAGTGTGTTACTAAATTACTCTAAAATTATATTGAAACAAAAAATACTCTAATTATCCTTACGTAACAAGAAAGTAAAACAAATGAATGATGGAGTTGTTAGATAGGTGCTATAAAATAGTACTCAAGTTTCTTTAATAAAAAGGTAATAAGTACCAAAATGGCTACTCAAAACAATACTTAGAAGTTCCTTACTAGTTAATAGCTCTTTAGAACATCTTTCCTAAGGCACTTACTACGTTTAATGGTGCTGTTTAAAGCAAAACTTTTGATATTTTAATGTGAGTAAACGTGAAAAAGTTCGTTATAGGTAACTTGACATGAAAATGTATTACCTAAAGCGGGCAAAGTTCGCTAACTAAGTACCTACGAACTAGAATATTTAAAATTTAACTTAAAAAAATGTAAGAGATCAATCATGGAGATTTGATAGTGTGTGTGGAAGAACTCATAGATTACCAAATCTATGAGTTCTTACACACATACGTAAGTTTTTAGAAACTAGTCCCCTGATTAAATCAGTTTATAATGATTAGTTTAAATTATTTCATTTAATAATCAAACCATCATCTTTAATTAAAATATACAACCCAGAAAAGTTAACAACAATACAGAAAAATCATGGCGACCCGATTAAAATATGATTTCCAAAAATGCCACCGTTAAATGAACAAGTCCGTCCTTACCCTAGCAAAACAATCGGAATAAAATCGCATCGTTAGCCGAATTTTCGGAAAAACCAACGTGGGCACTACATCGGAAACATAGCAGGGTTGCCCGGAAACGTTAATTAAAATGTAGCAACACAGGCCACGGGCCGGTCGCCGGTGCGGCGCGGAACGGACCGTGGGCGGCGCGGGGCTCTCAACACGACTTTATTAATCGGCCGATTGCTTTCGGCAAACTGTTTTAATTGTCGAGCGAGACTTTGCCTCCGGATTATCTTGATTGGAACGAAATTGTATTATATATTTATTTATAATAAATAAATGGTTCATTTATTTTTTGAAGTCCTTGTTTTAATGTATTTTCTTTTTTAACCGACTTCATTTATTGTCATTGTTTTAAACTGAAAATGATGTTTTATTTTTTGCTGAATGTGTTAACGTTACAAGTTGAACACTTTATCAAATAACTACCTAAATTAAATTTTAGTCGATAGATAACAAATCTAGGTAATTCTAATTAAAATCTGGCGAATAAATTCTTATCCGTACCTACTTAATTTTATCATACTTTATCCATATCCAACTATTAATGGAACCTGTTATCTATAGAAATGAAAGTTCATACAAGGTAAGATTGTCAACAATTTTTGAGAGGAAATTAAAAATATTTCCAGAAAGTAAGACCAAAAACCGTTTCCAATTCCAATTTGAGAAATCGAAATATTTGCAAACAAAACTGGGTCAGGTCCGGAACGGTCCACAAGTTTAAAACAAAATTGAATTCGAAAAAAGAATCCGACAGTTTTCCTACGAATTTGAATAGGTACCAAGTTCTGGAATTTTGCAAAAATATTATCCGCAGTAAGCAATAAATATTGGATTACCGTAGGCATTATAGGAGGCATCATTTTCTTGGAGAAAATCAAATTCAAATTCAAATCATTTATTGCGAATATAGGTCAAGTGTAAATGTTACAGTAGATATTACAAAATAATTTGATCGGCTACATTCTG